TTATTTTAAAAAATAGTAAAAAAGGAACAAATAAAATCAAATAAATTTTAACAAATTTAAAAATAAATTTTCAAACATAACAATGAGACTTGATGTCCAGTCTTGTGTGTGCGACAGACAAGAACCTAACCGCTACACCACCCACGCAGGCAGGTGTGGTCGACTTTCTGGTCTTTTGTTTATTTTCAATATATTATTATGAGTTTACATTACGGTTTTGAAGACAAGCTGTCATTCTCTGGGGGACATTCTTGACCGTATTCCTGGTGACAATATTTCCACTGATTTAACATTTGTGTCACGTTGCTGTGGAGTCAGGCTCTCGTCTATTTTTGGGCATGAGAAGTTATTGGTATCACCTTAAAGCTTATTCATTGGTCTCACTTTTGGTGAAAATACATCAATCTATCTTGAATAGAAGTCGTGATGTTTGAGATTGAAGGAGGTGGGGGTCGCCTGGTTTCACAGGTAAAATTACTGAACAAATCACCACCAAAATTGGATAACATCTATAACTTGAGAATCATTGAAAACTGAGAATGTACACAATTTTAAGTGATTAATCAACGTTTTTTAAAGACAATTCTCTTAAAAATAATGTAGCTTTACATGCACATAAAAAGTGTTTAACCATAACAGAAAATTTCGATAAATAAAATCATCAAACTGACAGAAAGATGCCTGTTTCTTCAATGTCATTATTTTGACGAGTGCCTGATCTCACCACGCTACCTCACATGTGAGTTTTTATTATGGTGTTGAAGACCAGCTGTCATCCTCCAGGGAACATTATTGACTTTATTCCTGGTGGGAATATTTCCACTGATTTCGCATTTAATTTTAATCCCCCTTCTCCGGTCTATCATTTTCCCAGCCTGTCTCGTCAGGCATAGAACCTTCTATCCGGCTTATGTATTTATTACAAATGCCTGAATAATAGACACATACACTTAGACGCACGCACAAACAAACACAAACCAACAAACTATACACACTCAAAGAGCCACACACACACATACATACACACACACATACAAACACACACACACACACACATACACACACACATACACACACACATACACACACATACACATAAACAAACACAAACAGACATTTGAACACATACTCATACACACACACACACACACACACACACACACACACACACACACACACACACATGCACAAACACATACACCACCAAACACCTCCGTTTCAGTAAAAGCGTATCATAAACCCACCAGCATTCTCAGAACGCCTCTATCTATTAGTCTTCAGGTATCTATCAGTCTTCAGGTACTCAAGCAATAAACATGAGGCAGACAGACCAACAAGACCACCCCACTCACCTTTAGGAAATACGATCGTCTGAAAATCCACACCTTACAGCACGCGTCCAGACACACAAATCACATTTCTACAGATGGCAAAAGTAGCTGCCCTCCTGTCTAGTGTCCAGTCAGTTTTACCAGGTCTCGGGAAGAAGGCGAAGAAGAAGAAGAAGTAGAAGTAAAAGAAGAAGTCTCAAAAAGTTGGACCTGCAAATCCCACTCCACCCTTCGTGGAAAGATATCGGAGAGATTAACTCGCTCCCCAGCACCGGACTCGTCGCATCGCTCACGCGCTCAGCTCGCGCCCTGTGAGTCGCTGCTGATTTGGAAACGCAACTTAATATAGAGGGCTAGCCGGCCTCTCCTCACTCAGCTAAAGAATCATGTTGTTGTTGTTGTTGTTGTTGTTGTTGTTGTTCTGTTGGGCTTCAGTCAAGAGGGACAATCTCGGTTGGGAGAGGGGGATATTGGTTTTGAAGAAAACTTGACGAGGGGACGACCAATCAGATTTTAGGGGAGAGAGAGGGGGGTG